TTTAACTTTAATTAGTTAATAGTTTAAGTTAAGTTAGTTAAGTTATTAGTTAGTTTAGTTTAGTTTAGTTAGTTAGTTAGTTAGTAGTAGTAGTATATTATATATATATATATATATATATATATATATATATATATATATATATATATATATATATTCTTTTTTCATTGTAGGTTATTGCAAGATGTTGACTGTAGTCCCCTGTGCTATACAGTAGGAACTTGCTGTTTATCTGTTTTGTATGTAGTAGTTTGTATCTGCTGATCTCAAACTCCTAAATTACCCCTCCGCTCCCCACATTTCCCCTTTGGTAACCATAAGTTTGTTTTGTATGCCTGTGAGTTTCTTTCTGTTTTGTAAATAAGTACATTTGTGTCATTCTTTTTTTTTAGATTCTACATATAACTGATATCACATATTTGTCTTTCTCTGTCTGACTTATTTCACTTAGTATGACGATCTCCAGGTCCATCCATGTTGCTGCAAATTGCATTCTTTCATTCTTTTTTATGGCTGAATAGTAGTCCATTGTGTATACACCACAAATTTCTTTATCCAGTTATCTGTCGATGGATATTTAGGTTGCTTCCATGTCTTGGATATTGTAAATAGTGCTGCTCTGAACATTGGGGTGTATGTATCTTTTTCAAATTAGAGATCCCTCTGGATATGTGCCCAGGAGTGAAATTGGTGGATCATATAGTAAGTCTATTTTTAGTTTTCTAAGGAATCTCCATACTGTTTTCCATAATGGCTGCACCAATTTACATTCCCACCAACAATATAGGAGGGTTCCCTTTTCTCCACAGCCTCTCCAGCATTGATCGTTTGTGGACTTTTTAAGTATGGCCATTCTGACTGGTGTGAAGTGATACCTCATTGTAGTTTTGATTTGCATTTCCCTGATAATTAGTGATGTTGAGCATCTTTTCATGAGTCTGTTGGCCATCTGTATGTCTTCTTTGGAGAAATATCTATTTAGATCTTGGGAAGTGAATATGAGATGAGTGAGAGGATTACTATTTAAGATGAATACACTGTCCGTTAGCTGATTTTCTTGTTGATCTCTGACCCCTCTTTTGATCTTCCCCAGCTGCTTCCTCCTAAGCTCTTAATTAGGAATGATGTAATGCAGGTCTTGGGGAGGAGAGAGGGTGAGATTATGGGTTCTATCTTTAAAAAGGAAGGGCTTCCCAAACAGGAGTCTGCCCACTTCAGTCTGTCCTCTAGAGTGTGCTGAGGACATCCTTAACCTCTTAATGAGTAATGAGAGTTGCTAAGCACTGCAGTTTAGAATTTGAAATCCACCTTTAACCTAATTTATTCTGGACACAAGGGAGAGAAAAATTAATTCTAAAAACTTAATTGAGGATCTTGCTTTGTTGCCTTGCCAGGATTCTTATTGGAAGGTTAAAAATTATTTGATTTCTTTCCAAAATGAAACCTGGAGAGATTACATATTGCTAACATTTCCCACCGTCTTCTCATTTTTTACAAAATGGTCCTCTGGGGAGGCTTTGCCAGGAGTGTGTAAGCTGGACGTCATGGGTTCCTTTTAACAGAAGACAGGCTACTAGAAATGATAAAGCAGCATCATTTTTATTGAGTTTTCTTTGGGCAGAGCTAAGGGTCACCTTGGAGGAGAAAGAAGGGATTTAGTGCAACATAGGTGGTATTTAGGTTCTTTTCTCTGTCTGTCTTGTCTTTTGTTATTTGGAGATCTTTTTACAGTTAACAAAAAGCTTAAAAATCATTGAACTCTTGTTTTAATCCTCGAAGATATTCTTTTGGCTGTAATATTGTGTTGTTCCATTCAGTTTTGCGGTGAACTTCCTTTCCCAAATGCAGTCAAAGCCTCGCTGTTGCACAAGAAATGCATTCCAAGTATTGCTGGAAGCTCAGTGATTATTTCTACTTATGCTGCCTTGCACATGCTGAGGTTCAAGTTCAGGGTCTCAGCCAGAAAGGAATTCACATAGTATTCATTTTCTTAAGTCTGAAGATTAGGATGTTGAAAATTCTGGAACACTGGACTCTTGAAACATGTTTTCAGTTGTCTTTTATTAATTAATTAAGAAATTGATTTTCCTGTTACAACTAGAGTCACTTTCCCTTTAAAAATTAGAACATTACAAATGAAGCTATAGTTCCCTTTGTCAGTCACCTCTAGTCCTGCTCCCCTTCCCCCATTTCCAGAGGTAATTATTAAATAAGTTTAGCAAGTATCCTCCAGACGGCTAAAAAATATTTTGTATTCATACTTATACCTAAAGAAAATATGTCACCTTGTTTAACATGTATTTTTTAAACGTAAATGGTATCATACTACTAGTGTTGTTCTCTAACTTACTTTATTTGAAAAACAGTATGTTTTTGAGGTCTATCCGTGCTGCTCTAAATAGATTCAGTTCAGTTAACTCTTTTCTAGGCTCCCATATTATGGGTGTATTATTGTTGACCAGTTCCTGTATTGATGATGGACACTATGAACCATGAACATTCACGTAGACTTTTAGGCGTAAAATTGTGGGTCATGGGTTAGGTGTCCAACTGCCTCCCGCAGTGTCAGGAACATTTTATATGCCCATTCATTAAACATACTTTGTTTTTTAATTTTTTATTTGTGTATATATATATATTTATTGACGTATAGTCAGTTTACAATGTTGTGTCAATTTCTGGTGTACTGAATAATGCTTCAGTCATACATGAACATGCATATATTTGTTTTCATATTCTTTTTCACCATAAGTTACTGCAAGATATTGAATATAGTTCCCTGTGCTATACAGGATGAACTTGTTGTTTATCTATTTTATATATAGTAGTTAGTATCTGCAAATCTTGTACTCCAACTTATCCCTTCCCAGTCCCTTCCCCCGCTGATAACCATAAGTTTGTTTTCCATGCCTGTGAGTCTGTTTCTGTTTTGTAAATAAGTTTGTTTGTCTTTTTTTTCAGATTCCACATATAAGTGATATCATATGATATTTTTCTTTCTCTTTCTGGCTTACTTCACTTAGAATGACATTCTTGAGGTCCATCCATGTTGCTGCAAATGGCATTATTTTATTCTTTTTATGGCTGAGTGGTATTCCATTATATAAATATACCATAACTTGTTTATCCAGTCATCTGTTGATGTACATTCAGGTGGTTTCCATGTCTTAGCTATTGTAAATAGTGATGCTATGAACACTGGGGTGCATGTATCCTTCTGAATTAGAGTTCCCTCCAGATATATGCCCAAGAGTGGGATTGCTGGATCGTATTGTAAGTCTATTTTTAGTCTTTTGAGGAATCTCCCATTAAACATACTTTAATCTTAACTTTTAAATTTTTAATAGCACAGAATTTTAAATAGCACAGAAAAGCCATCATTGCTTCCAGATCTACTACCAGTTGTTTGCTATTTGGCAAAAGAATTTCCTTTTTAGATCTTAATTGCTTCATTTTCAGGTAAGGGAATAAGAACAGTCCCTACTCGCAGGGCTGTTGTGAAGACTGAATGGGAATAGTTCCTGATTCAGTGACTATTAGTTTTGATCATATATGTGTGTGTGTGTGTGTGTGTGTGTATAGAAGATACATATCTAATAAATATTAGTGTTACATCAGGATTAGTACTTAAAGCAAACCCTCAAAAGGTTTGGCATCTAAGTTTTTTCTAACTTAGATGCCAAACTAACTTTCATCCATGAAGGTGAAGGACTGCAGTCCTTTTATTTCTTTAAATTTTTTCATCTGTGATGGAGTTACTGGGAATTGAACCCAGGACTTTGTGCATGCTAAGCATGTGCTCTACCATTGAGCTATACCTCCCCCTGACCCAGTTTCTTTTAGCAGAGCCATAGTATGAAGAACATTTTGGGATGCTGTATTCTTCTCAATAGGGATACTGTCTTAGAAGGGTTTTTAAGTGACACCCAAGGGAAAAGGAGTGAGAACTATGTAAAAGTAATAGACAGTTTTTTCACAAAACTTGATTTAATTTAGAAATGTCTTCCTTCAAAATTCTTCCCACAACCACTAAGATGTAGACACTCAGATTTATTTCCTGAATTCCACGCCCATCACACTGTCCCCCGAGGGCGCTAGTGAGCCCCGGAAACCAAATGCAGATATAAGAAGGAAAAGCAGGAGGGCCAAGAAAGTGCTTCAAAGTCCGGAGGAGAACTGATGAGTGGTCTAAATTGACTGGAGCATTGGTCGGAGAAATACAATTTGCAAGACTTAACTTACTATGCAGTGTAAATTAGGGAAGCAACTGGACTTGGTGGGAAGAAGTCAGAGAGTAGGGGAGAGAGTCTTAGGAGAGATAGTTCACTCGGGCAGCACTGGAGGCTTGAAGAGAGAGGAAGAGAGAGAGGGAAGGGGGAGGGACTAAAGGAAACATTCCATCTGGGGCCTCGGTGACACAGTTATGCGCTGCAGTGTGGAATAATGCTGGAACAAAGAAAGGGGACTGGTTACGGGGCAGAGAGATAGGAGTGGATTTATGCGCTTTCGTGTGTCAGAGGTAGGCTGTGATTTTCTTCTCTCTCTCTTTTTTTGTCCATGGGAAATTAAGACAATGAAGTACCACAGAAGCAAGACTGGCCCAAGACATTGTCCCCAGGTCAGATAATTGGGCACATTGTGTACTAAATTATGACTAAGCTTATCTCTTCTTTATGCCTTTGAGCTTTGAAACCATCCTTTATTCTGAAAAGCCTATGAGCCTATGAGGCAATTTCAATCATTATCATAATATCAGTAGCAGAATCAAATCATACGTAGTTGGCTTTCTAAAATTAATGTAAAATTGCTTCATAGGTTGGCTGAGAGAGACCTGATAACTTAAAAGTGTCCGCATGTGGGGACAAATGGATGAGTTTCTAATCTTGCCATTTTGAATAGGAGAAAATTAGTTTTTTTTTTAAGTGAAGATTGTTTAATATGTATAGAAAAAGTTGAAGAATTTTCCAAAAATTTTGCTAACTTCAGGGGGGCTTAATCAAAAGCAAAATCCTGAAGTGTCTTCTCTTAAACATACTCAAATCCCTGTGCTGCTAGGGCCATTTCTTTGTCCTTATGTTTTCCATAAAGATACCGCACGGCAGGGTTTTTGATTTTTGTCTGTTCTCGTCCTTATTCCTTTTTTTGCATTTAAGTAGTTGGGGGAGATATTTACTCTGATTATGAAATTAATGTATCGTCCCTGTAAAGGACTTGGAAAATATAAAAACATATAGCAAAGAAGAAAATGAAATGTGGTCCCATAACTAAAAGGTAACCACAGTTGACATATCTTTCTAGTAGTTTTCTGTAAGTTATATTTAACTATACAAATCATGCATAAATACATCCTTCTTGAAAAAAAACAAAACCATTTCCCTCCCCAGCTCCAGAACTGTTGTCAGCCCCAGAGGTGAGGACTGTTAATGAAGGTGATGTGTGTTCTTTCAGACCGTTTTCTCTTTTTCTTCACAAAATATATTTATAGGAAAGACATAGTATTTTCCCTCCATGTTTTTGTTGTTGTTTTTTTGAAGGGAAGGTATTAAGCTTATTTATTTATTTATTTATTTATTTATTTATTTATTTATTTATTTTTATTTAGAGGCTGAGAGCTGTTCCCTTGTGGATGGAGCAAGGGCTCTTCAGGTACCACCACTGTCTCTGGTCTCAAGCATCGATCTAAGTCACTATCAAGACCCCAAGATAGGCTATGAGACTGAGAGTACACGGCACAGTGAATAATTATGAGGGAGATAGCCCTTTACACTTAAATCACATGATCTCTCTGATAAACACATGAAACCCTTTGCTCTATGGACCAGAGATGAGTTGGTAATCTTTGTAGTCTGGAAACAGAATGATGAGCTGCCTCCTGGTTAACCTTCTTCTGCTGGTTCTTTGTTGACTCTGTCTGTTCTGGTCAGAGGTCACATAGCACTGGAGTTGGGCAGAAGGAAACTGTCCAAGATGGCAAAGGCCAACTAGTAAATGCCAAACCCTACCACCATCCTCGGGGAACCTGTCATTCATTCCCTGGCTGCCCCCTGTCTCCCTTAGAATTTTGAGAATGAGAATGAAATGATCTGAACCAAACTCTTCTCTGAGCAGCATTTAAAACATATCTGGACTGGAAAGAATGCTTCTGTTCTTAATCTTGCTTTGCACAGCTGCACGGAAAAGATTGTTTAACTCTCCTCTTTCTATTTTGTCTTTCGGGAACCCTATCAGGAAACTTACAATCATCTCTTGGAAGTCCCGGCCACTCGGGAGCAGTTAAACCACTATCGGAATGTGGCCGAGACCGCACAAAGTGAGCTTGCAGCAACATTGGTCAAATTCGAATCTGCTCAGTCTCAGGTAAAAGTGTGCATCTTCATACTCACAAATGGGCCTTGTTAGTGTCTTGCAGTGTGAAGCAGGGGAAAGACGGGAGTAGAAATAGGACCAAGGGACACAGACTCAAACTTTTTGACAAAGTTTATGCCTCTTCTCTTAGTGTGCACCTACCCTCTAGTTATGGAGAATTCCTGGAAGGTTGTACATTTGCCATGTTGCTGAGCAAGATGACATGGGTGGGTTCTGGATCTCAGAGGAGCTCCACATCTTCAAGAGCCCTGAGGACACCTGGGGACTTTGGGTTTGGATTGCGTGGGCTTTGGAGAACTTTTAGCATCTCTGGGACTACCTTTAACGTGGATTGCTTGCAGTTTGCAGCTCTGGGGGTGGAATTCTGACTCCCTTTCTTGTGGTGGTTCTGCTTGGGGACATTCTAGGAAGACAACTAAGATCCATCTCCCCTCTGGGTTGGATCAGATCTACTGTGGAGTTTCTGGGAGGTTCTCTCTAAGACTCATTGTGATCATAACCTTGTGGCTCCAAGGAGTCCTAGACTTGCCTGGGAGGTAACTAGCAGTCCCACTGGGCTACCAGGATCCTGCTGAAATGAGTTGATCATGTGTGTGTGTGAATAACTGCATACATGAATACTCACAGTTCCCAAGGAGTACGTGCATTCATAAAGTTTTCTAATGGGGTGGACCTGATATCTTAATAAGGCTCATACTGTGTTCAGCATTTTGATGCCAAAGAGTTCATAGACGTTAAAATGTTTCTTTTGTATAAATCCTATAATGATTTTCCTTTTCTCCTGTATTTTTTCTAGAAATACAAATATTATTCCCCTTTCTCACCCATAATAAGGATCTAGAAGGCAAGAGGGAGAAATACAGTGATATATCGAATAGTCTGTGTTTACTTGGGAAACGGCTGTGGCCGTGAAGTTACAAATAGCATAGCTGGTAGGTCCCATGTTTCATTGTCAGCAGCAATACAGAGTTAGAAAATGAGTTCCCATCGCAAAATATTTTATTGCTTTTTGCAAAATACACCACACATGTCTCCTGAGTGAACTTAAATCACCACAAGACAGTGCTCAATTATTTTCTGAAGACAGAATGTGAAGTCCACTATTGAGGCATATAATTTCCCGTCTGGTAACATGGAAACAAATATGAAAAAAAAAAAAAAGAAAGGAAAGTTGGATTAAGTCATGAATAAAAGATTGAAATTTTAAATTATGGTTTTGGGTTTTTTCCAAAGATAATTCAAACTTACACATTGAAATCCTTTCCCTCATTTTACTTCTTTTCCACGTTAGCTACGGGACCTGCGATCCAAAATGCTTTCTAAAGAAGTTTCCTGTCAAGAGTTGAAAGCTGAAATGGAGAACTACAAGGAAAACAATGCCAGAAAATCATCTCTCCTCACCTCTTTGAGAGACAGAGTTCAGGAGCTGGAAGAGGAATCAGCGGCGCTCTCCACTGCTAAAATTAGAACAGAAATTACCGCTCACTCTGCCATCAAGGAGAACCAGGAGTTAAAGAAGAAAGTTGTAGCACTAGATGAGAAATTACAGTAAGGATATTTCAATGTATTTCTAATTGAGTCAGTGTTAAAACACTAGCTTCTGATAGCAGGATATGCCACTGGAGGCACTGGCATTTTGCAGTATGGGGGTCCTGAAACTCAACTTGGAAAAAAAATCATTGACCTTATGTATCTTTGGAGTCTTGAAATTTTTTCTCAAATTTATTTCTAAATGTCACAAAGAATCTTAACAAACATGGCGTTGTCCTAAGCATGTTTATGCCCTATTGATTAGGGCTGCAAATTCTTATGTGTAAAATTTGGGAGATTTCTCCTAAGCAGAGGTTTAACTGGAGGTGTGGAGTGGTTGGTGCACAGAGGGAGTTTATTCAGAAGCTAGTTCTGAAAATACCCCAGAAGTCCAGACCACCCCAGACCACCCTGAACACTCTAATGAGGTTATATCACCAGTTTATGTGAGAACTCATGAAATCTAGGTTTCTATACTTACTTCTGGCAGAAGGTGATTATTAAGATAAAATTGGGAGCTAGCTGTTCTTAAAATACACTTTAAAATTCTATGTATAGTAACTTCAATCACTTTATTAATAAAATACTTGATCTTTATTTTACTTATTTCATCTTAAAAAAATAAATTAAAAAATCCAATGCTTCTAGCTCTTGTCCTCTGTCTCACCTTCCATTTACAACAAAAGTCCTTAAAAAATGTTTGTATATACTCCCTGTCTCCAGTTTCTCTCCTCTTTCAGATCTCCTCCACTGAAGACACTCATTAGTGACTAGAGACCGCACATTGCAAATTAAATGATCAGTCTTATCTTACTTGACCTTCCAGTCCATCAGTCAGTGTTGGTCTGTCTCCCTGAACCACTTTCTTCTTTTAGCTTTCAGAGCACTGCACATGCCTGCTTTTGATCCTACCTTTCTAGCTGCTCTTTCATTGTCTCTTGCTTCATCCCCCCAATGTCTTTGACTTCCAGATGTTGGAGTGCCCCAGGGCTCAGTCCTTGACTGTCTTCTCTCTTCTCTTGTCCAACTAAATTCACTCTCTCTGTGCCCTCATCCAGTCTCAGGGCTTAAAGTATGATCTAAATGCTTGTGACTCCCACGTTTCTAGATTTAACCTGGATCCCTCCCCAGAACTCAAGACCCACATGTCTTACAACTTACTGGACATCTCCATGTTGATGTCCACAGGCATCTCAAACTTAATGTGTCCAAAAATGCTCTTGATATTTCCATAAAAATCCTCCTGCACTTTCCCTCATCTCACTTAATGGCAATTTCATTCTTCTAGTTGAACTTGGATCATCCTTACTTCTCTTTCTTTGATACTTCAGTAAACCCATCACCTGTCTCTACTGTCAAAATAAATCTAAATTTTGACCACTTCCCGTTGCCACCCT